CGTAGCCGCAGGGAGCCGGCGGCACAGCCGGCGTGGGTGGCAGTGGTCGGGGGGGCCCGAAGCCGTGGCGCGGGCCGCCCGCCTGATGCCGCCCGCCCTCTCCGACCCTAAGCGGGGGTTGCTGTGCCCGAAGCTGCTCGTTGCTGTCCGTGGCCACCGGCCCCCGTTTCTCAGCCGCCGTAGCCAGCAGGCTGCCGTGTCCGCCCGGACCGGAGCCGATGGGACGCTCAGGGCTGGGAGGGTCGCGGTTGTTCTGCCGGCCGTGCTGCGGAGAGGGCCGCTCCCGGCAGAAGAGCAGGACGGATGGCTGCGGTGGTCACCTCTTAAACTCCCCAGCGTGAAACATCAGAGGTCGCACAGAGGCACTCTGCTCCTGGCGCATCTAGAGATCTCGAGACGTGTCTTGTTCGACTTCACACATCTTCACAGCAACCTCTCAGAAGCTTGAAAATAGCGAGTTGAGCTAATTTGCAAACACTACTTTCCCCGCTTAGTGTCATCTTAAGTTAACTTCGTTTTCTGCTCGCTTTCTTGTTTGTGCCTCAGTATAATTTTACAGTGCGCGAGCTGTTAATTTGCAACTGAACAAAAAGATGGCATGGAAAATCTGAATATAGCCAGTGCACTAAAGCTGTAGGCATGTAGCACCGTGCTGAATAAACTAAACGCTGCTTAGTCTAGTCTGTGGGTATATTTGCGTTTTGCCATTGCAGATAAGAATCTTGAAGGCCCCCCAATCCTTTGATCCAGTCTCAAGCAGCCAATAAGTGTGCGTCCTGTTTATTAATCATTGCCTGCTGGGACAGTAAACCCGCTCCCTGGTGATCACACATTGGGTTGGAAAAAATTGTCAGACGATAGATTACTTCCCCAAGTCATGCCCTGTTGCGCTAGGGTTATTCTTCTTGTTCAGTTCTTTTGTTGCAGCACTTCCACTTTAGGGTGGAAACATCATAAGCAAACGCATGGGGACTGTTGCACAAAGGCCAACTATGATGCCTAGAAGCTGTCCAGCTGTTCGGGTATTTGGAACTGCAATCTCAGTGTTGCCCCGTGGTTTGCTCCTTCTCTGGCCGAGCGGTCCCTCTGCTGGCATCACGGGAAAGGAACCAGCTGGGAACAGAGCGTTTGCCCTCCTTGGGTGGGCACGCAGCTCTCCCACCCCAACGGGTTCTTTCCTAGGAAAGACATTGCCAGATGTTCCAGAGCATCTGCGAGTCAGCCTTCACAATTAGAGCAGGGCTGGGACTCCCTAAGACTTAAAGGC